GAAGAGTTCCACGTGCATGCACCATGCACATTATCATTTACAGAATCATCAGCTCAATCAAATCCTGTGGGAGTAAGAAGTTGCTAATTGTTTTATCAAAACCTTAAACATGAATGCACGAATAAATGTGCTCTCTTCCCAAACTAACCTTCAATTGTAAAGCTTTTGCTTTCCAAGTCTGTGTTTGGCGCGTCTTCCGGCTGTTTACAAGTTGGGAAGACTGAAAATTGGTCTATTTCTGTTTGGCACACAGAAGATCTACCCGCAAAAAGCACGAATGCCAAAAGGACGCGAAAAGCCTATTTTGGGCTGATTTCGGGAAGCTTCAAATGAAGCTTNGGCACACAGAAGATCTACCCGCAAAAAGCACGAATGCCAAAAGGACGCGAAAAGCCTATTTTGGGCTGATTTCGGGAAGCTTCAAATGAAGCTTTCCACGTCTTTCGTGTTTTATTCTCGTGTGGAAAGACGCACGGAAAGTCTTCCAAACGGTCTTCGGGCTGCCCAGATGTTATGTCAAAAGTTCAATGCATCTTTTGACTGTTAGGGCTACAAGAAGATCTTGTCAAAAAAAACTTACCAAATGGGCCTCGGTTGTACTTTGAAACAAATCAGAGTTGTAGCTTTAAACATGTTCATCCACTCCACTCTATAATCTCCCCTATTTAGTTGATTCGATTCTGTTGGTAGTCGGTTCACATTTGGATCCCTTTTAAGTTTTATGATTCCTAAATGGCACCTTAATATGGAACAACACCACCTGTCTTTCAAGGCTACGAGATTTGTATAAGCTCCTCCTCCTCCTTTTATTAATTTTATTATTATTATTATTATTATTATTAATTTTATTATTATTAATTTTATTATTATTATTATTATTATTATTATTATTAGATGGGGTGCTTAGAATTTGGTCGCAAGCCCATGGTCTAAAATTTGGTCCAAAATAATAAAGAATGGACCAATAAGAACGGCCATACCATTGGGCTACCTTGCCCATGAATAGGGGCTAGGACTCTAGGGGGGTGTTTTGTAGTGTGGATGAGAAATTGGTAGGTGTGGACTGGTCCACACCACACCTCGTGGTAGGGACCAATCCACACCATACCACAGTCCATAATTATTTTGAACTGCAGATAGATTATGTGGACTAGACCAGTCCACACCCACGGTAGCGTTCTGTAGGTGTGGTGTGGACTGGTCTACACCATACTTTTTGATTCTGTGTATCTCAAATACATTTATGGGAGATATACACAGTTGATCATAAATGTCTAATTTTTGCATTTTATATGTTAAATAAATTGAAAAAAAATGCATCAATATGTAGACAACAATTTCATTTTTTAAATAATTAAAAAATATTAAAAAAAATATTATTTTATTGATAAAAATATTAAAAATTTAATATTTAAATAATGAAAAAAGAGTTGAGAAGGAGAACCATCGGACTTGTGCTAGAATTAACATTAAAATTTATTATTTTATTGATAACATATTAAAATTTTAAATTTTAAAAATCATTAAAAGACTAAATAAAATGAGAGTAATTGGACCAATGCGTTACATTGAAACCTTCTCACAAAATCTTCACACCATAGTGTGGACCATCCACGAAAAAATAATGTAGATGATAAATTGGAGTGTGGCCCATCCCTATTCATGCTATTTTGTGGATGGGGACCATCCACATATAGCAGAATACCATATCTTACTGTAGACGGGACCAAACAATATATACACACTACCAAACGCCACCTAAGTTAATAGATGACCTCCAGGTTAATCACTAAACCTGCCACCCAACCAGCATTACATTGAGATAATGGGCTTTGGCCACAGGCAAAGCCCGTTCGAGCAACTTTACAGTATTGCATTTTAGAATATATCTATATATGTACTCTATTACATGGGAGATATTCACAATGAACGGTTGGAAAAGGCGATTGGAACGTTGTGGGCACAGATTTTTCTTTAATGAAAGCCCATTGGAGCTAGACCTGTTCATGGGCCGGGTGGCCCGACGGACCGACCCGGCCCTTGGACGGGCTTGAACATGTTTATAAGCCCGTGGGCTTAAACTCAGGCCAAAAAGCCCGGCCCACAATAAATTCGAGCCGGGCTCAGGTTTTGTCAAAATAGCCCGGCCCGACCCGACCTAAAATTAGACTTAAAATGGGTTATGTGATTATGTCCATTTGAATAAATTTTTTGATTTAAGAATGTAAAACTGTGTTTTAAAACATAAAAGAAAGGGAAAAAACCATCTTGTAGGCCCATTGTTCATTTAAATAGGAAAAAAAAACATCTGAATTTTTAATTCTAATTTGAATAGGAAAATAATTTTTTTATTAGGTAGGGCTTCGAGGTTTTTATCAGGGCCGGGCTCAGGCCCAAGTTATAAGCCCGTTGGTCGAGCCGGGCTCAGGCTCGGGCCTAGCGTATTTCTATTAATGATGAGTAAAAGCCCAGCCCCAGTCCGGCCCGGCCCGACCCATGAACAGGTCTAGCCCCATTTTCATAATAAGATGTACAATTTAAAATCATGTCCCAACAAATCACTGCAGCTGTACATCGAGAATATCTCCCGGGAGATATTCCCAATGTGCGACTTCAGTGACATGTTGGGAACGTTGTATTGGTAGCGGATCCCTGCCCTAGTGCCCTGTTAAAACTTGGAAATTGAAACATCATGATGCGAGGTTGCGAAAAGGATACGCAGTACGCCCGTTTAAGATGGGGAGTCAGGAAGGTGTAATGCAGGCGTCATCAAGAATCATGAACCGTCATCATCATCAGTCAGGGTCGCGATGCGATGCTATCCATCTACAACTGGATGGGTTTGAAAAGTTGAACACGTAATACGTTATTCGTAGGTTCACTCCCCCTTTTTTTCTGCCTTTTTGGTTTTGATGGATGATGATGATGATGGTACGTACTTAAACCTCTCCTCTTTCTTCCGTCATGCTTTTGTATGAACGACGTCACATTCTTCTCTCTCTCCTCCCAATGCCCCGAGGCCGAAGGAATCTGCTACCATATGACTAAGGTGCATCGTGTTTAATTGGATGACATCACACCATATTCCCGTCAATGCCGTCATGCAGCATGCATCAACATGCCTACCCTCGATGTTGTTGAATATGTGTTGTCGGATCTTTACTTTGGAGTTGACCAGACGATCCCCACCATTCAAATAAAAGTGAGGAGATGGCTTCCCCTGTGCATGAATCTAAAATTGGTTTGGTTATAGTAAGTAGCATGTGAGAATCATAATTCATAAGGTATAGAAAATCTCCATCCTCTCGTTTGTCGTTCCAATGGAACGGGTGTCATAGGAAATTTCCGATTAGTACCCTTTACTTTGGCTCCAAAGTTTAAAATATGGTAATTTAGTATTTTAAAATATGATAATTCAGTACATACTAATAATCAGTTGTTATGTTATATTTGAAAAAGATATACATGTCCTTTGGGTGTTATTTAATTTTTTTTATTAATTATTCAAACATTATAATAAAAATTAATAGTTTTAAATCATTGTCTCTTCTATTCAAGAAAGTTGGGGTCACCAATAAGAGTGTAAATGGATCGGATCATGATCTCATTCGATCCAATGCATTATATATTTATAAATATAAATATATTTACAATACGTATATTATTTATTTATTTATAAATATATTATTTATATTGTATTTATATAAATTTGTTATATTAATTATTTTTTTTATAAAAAATATGTATATATATGATGAAAATAATTAAAAATACAGTATTTTTGTTTTTTCTTTATTTAAATTGGTATATTTTATTTATTTTTTAATAATTTATTAACTTTTAAAGAAAACAAGTCGGATCAAATCATATCTGAAGATCCGATAGGATTTGAATTCAGATGGAGTCCTATCAGATTCGATTGAATCCGACATGAACAATGTTGGATCGGATTCAAGTATACCATGATTAGAATCCGATCTAATTCGCTTGCATCCCTAGTCACCAAAATGCTTACTCAAAAGTAATTCCAACTTTCTTGAATGGAAGAAACAAATATTTGGAGCTATTAATTTTTTGTCAATATTTATATGGTTGATAAAGAAAATTAAATGATACTTGAAGGACATTTATGTCCTTTTCAAATGTCACTTAATAGCAGGTTAACTGTTGATTGATTGTCACGTTTTGAAAGTACAAATACTAAATTGTGGCATTTTAAAATTCATGAACCAAAGTGACACTAGGCCCAAAATACAAGATACTAATAAGGAATTATTTCTAAAAATTTTATTTGAATAATTAGATAGTTTCCCCCCAAAACCATCCAAATAATTAGTTCTATTTCACCTTAGAATTGTTCATTTATCAAAAATTGTTGATTTGATCAATAATTCACTGATACGGGCAATCAATTGTCGATCTATTTGATGCATATAACAAACTTTGGTTTTTTTTTTTTTTTTTTTTCATTGTGACTACTATTTTATTTTATTAAATTGCAACAGATCATCCATTTAGACCAAATTTTTGAACCATTAACCCAAAAACCAGGGGACAAAGTGGTTTCGAATATGGGTCGAAGTGATAAAATAATACATAACAAGCAGGATTTATAAGGTCATAATTGATTTCCATATCATATGATTTTTATATACTAGAATTTGGCATATAAAATTAAAAGGGCTAAAATTGAAAATTGAAGGGGGGACTAAAGTGTAAAGAGTAAAGACATCATCACCACGCCATAATGACCTTAGCCAGTTAGCCCCCCTCCATCACATTTTCATATGATTACATATACGTGAGAACAGACAAGGATGAATGACCTTTGGCTTTTAAATCCAGCCATCTTTTGACAGTTTGACCCCATAATTAATTAATTAATTAATCTCAAACTCATTTTTATTTTTTATTTTTTTATTTTTTTAAAGCAATGGAAAGCTAACTAACTGAACGTATAAATCACTCGGCGAGGTCCCCTTCCGTGCCTCTATAAATATCCCAACGTCCCTCCCTTTTTGTTCACTTCACTGTGATTGGAGTTAAACTAACCAGATTGAAGGAATGTCCGGAACAGCAATTTCGAAGCTTCTTAGAGAGCCTCGTCTCGTCAATCGAAAATTTCAGGCCAGGCCTCAACATGAAGGTGTTGGAGCCGTTGTTCGTCGAAGCATCGGACGGTAACATACACAGATGACAGATTATTCTCCCCCCTTCCTTTCTTCTTCCAAAATTATTGTGAAATTTGATCTCTTCGTCTGAATGCATCCTTCATTTCCTTAGGTTTGAGTTGAAATACTTCGATCCTTTTCTCGCCTTAGATGAATTCTCAGGTGTGTGTGTGCGTGTATCTTTTATCTCTTCTCTCTTTCTCTCAATTCTTTTTTCTTTTTCCTGCTTATTAAGTTCTAATTGATTGATTAATGAACGAGCTCTCTTATGATATTTCTCTCCCTTTTCTTCCGAATCTTGCAGTTTCTGCTCCTGCCGGATTTCCCGACCATCCACACAGAGGTTTATATTCCACTTTCCAGCTCCTTCTCTCTCACTTCATAATGAGATGAACTGATTCGGACTTGAATAAAGAAATTGAAATCCAGCTCAATCTGATATTTATTTTGATCAATTCTCTTTTCCTTTGTGTTTTTCACTTGAACAGGGTTCGAGACGGTTACATACATGTTGCAGGTAAAGCCATCGATGCTTGCTAGCTAATATCTAATAGGATTTTCGTTTTATATCCCTGATATATATAGTTATATATTTTATTCCCCCACCTAACAGTTTTTTTCGCCATTTATAATTAAGATTGATTATTTAAAAAATAAACTAGTTTTCGATGGTATTTTTCTTGTGCATTAGCTGATTGCCTGATTTGTTGGCACAGTATATGAAAGTTAATATTCTTTGATTCTTTCCACCAAAAATGAGAAAGGTTTAGTATTTCAGGTCGAGTAGGAAGTCCCTACCATGGTTTTTAAAAACGAACTGGTCAGGGGTTAGGTTACCGGTTCGAACGGTCCCACTGTTCAACCCAAACGGCTAGTTAACCATTCGAATGGTTAATTAGCCGGTTCAGAGGTTTGCTAACCAAAATCAATGGTTTTAGGGAAAAAAACAGTTTCAGGGAAAAACGGAACTGATCAGGTAACCGGTTCCCGGTTTTTCCTGTCCGACCGTCCTGTCCTTATGGTCCTACACCAGATTGTGTGATCCTCTGTGTTTGACCGGACTAGGACCGGCAAAAAGGTGCCAAAGATACCAACTACCAAGGATTAGGTTTCAAAATTCAGGTAGAATTGTAGAAAGCTACGGAAGAGTCAATGGCGGGAGATGTTCAAGTATTAGAAAGACAATTTTCCGCCCTTGGATGATAGGATTTGGGGTAGAGACTTAATATAATAGGGAGTCGAACTTTTGAATGACAGTCCCCTGAGTTTTCAGTCTCAAGTATAGGTTTATTAATTAATTCCAACCAATTTGCAAAACAAATTTTATTAATATCATCTTGGGCTAACAGGGAGCTGTTACCCACGAAGATTTTGAGGGGCACAAGGGTACGATAAGAGCCGGCGATTTACAGTGGATGACCGCCGGAAGAGGGATTGTGCACTCGGAAATGCCGGCAGCCGAAGGAACTCAAAAGGGTCTACAATTGTGGATCAATCTTTCTTCACAACACAAAATGTAATGAGAAAACCACCAGTAATGAATTTTCAAATTTTAATCAACAGAAGGACATCCATCCCCATATCTGTAGTTATGTTCTAATTAAGCTGCTGAATGATTTCAGGATTGAACCAAGATATCAAGAGATACAAAGCAAAAATGTTGCTGAAGCAGAAAACGATGGCATCAAAGTGAGAGTGATAGCAGGCGAGGCCTTGGGAGTAGAATCACCCATTTACACAAGGACGCCAACAATGTATTTGGATTTCACTCTAAAGCCAGGGGCTCATCTCCAACAACCGATCCCACCAACCTGGAACTCATTTGTCTACGTCTTAGAAAGCGAAGGCATCTTTGGCAGTCTGAAATCCCCATCGACTACACCCCATCATCTTCTTCTTTTGGGTTCCGGGGATGGTGTTGAAGCATGGAACAAGTCTTCCAAGCCTCTGAGATTCATCTTGGTTGGAGGGCAACCGTTGGGCGAACCTGTGGCACAGTTTGGGCCTTTTGTCATGAACACTCAAGAAGAGATTGACAAAACAATTGATGATTATCAGCAATACACCAATGGATTCGAGAAAGCCAAGAATTGGAGATCACAATCCATGCTTGAACTTGATTTGTAATTTGCTTCAGATTTATAATTTATAATTTCTTGCTCCTGCTTGTTTTCAGGAGAAGAAAATAAACAGCGGATAGCATAGGGTCGCTATTGTAAGTCTCTGAAGATTACAGTACACAATGTCTTTTACTTTATTACTGGTAAAATGATTATATGAATCTTGAAATTTGTTGAAATAATAGGGACCTTTCCGTCCAGAAAAAGAAAATAAGGAGTATCAAGTTATCAAAACTAAGCTAATTAACAATGATAACTCCTGACTTCCAATACAAAATTAATAATCTAATATAATCAAATAATGTGCAATTTTAAGTATGCCTTGATTTTAAAATTCTGTACAGGACGGATGGGAAATGAATTTGAAGCCTACTACAGAGTCCCTAAAATTGTTCCCTGGCTCAAATGAGCAAAAGTTTGATGAAAGACTCCACTACGAATACGCTTATTAGTTAATATAGACATATAGTTATAACTATGGTTACCATTTTCTAGCCCTCAAACGACATAGGCCAAAGCCCAGCCAGGTCCGACTTGTATTAAAGGCCCGGCCCGGCCCACGATCACCCTACTAAATATCAACAATTGATGTGCATTGTAAAAATTTAGATCAGCCGAGTGCCCGAGCAGAGTGGCGAGTCTTGATTTTTCAAATATATAAATCAACAAAAACTAGGAAAGCATGACTCTTGACCAAAGTGAGTTCACCAAGTCTGAGAACTAGCTTTACAACTATGGTTCATTGACACTGGAAGATGATCCGTGAGTCATAAAAAAAGCGGTACACAGACTGGGCATTAACGTGATCTCTCTCTCTTACAACCACATGGAAATTGCTGACTTAGCCTGGGAATCAGATGAATCGGATGAGTTTGGTTTATCCAGTAGGTATTTGACTCAGTAGCTGGATCTGTCCATACAGTCAAAAGATAAAAAAAAAAAAGGCAGAGTTAGGGTGAAATTGGTGAAACTGGATGAACATCGGAAACAACATGGTCATTGCCCCGAACTTGTGCAACAGCGAACACATGCAAGCTTAAGCTTACTGTTGACCATATAAAGCCAAATATTATGAAGATTGATTCTGGGAACCCATCTTATTTTTTCTCTCTGAATTGCCCCATCCCATATTATTTCATGGTGAAGTTAGAGAAAATGTAAATAAACATAATTAGAACCTAATAAGCATCTCCCACCTATTTGCCGTTGTTGTTTGGGGAGAGAGGTCCATGAGAAGTAGGAACTTGCTAATAGCCTATCCCATCATCTGATCTTCTAATTTACAAATAACCGAGTAAAGAAAAGAATAAAGATGAAAAATAAGTAGTCGATCGCCTTTTCCCCAAACTAGTAAAGAACTCGGCTGTCTGAGCTCTGTACTTGTTGTATTAGGGGCTGTGTAACCAATAGGCAATAATAACTCCCCGGCTAAGGGCCTGAGGCTCTGTGAGTCTGTGGCGGATGGTTTTCAGTATTTAACAAAATACAAAATAGACAATAAGTTAAAAAAAAAAATAGAAATTTTATTTCATTTGAATTTAATGAATACAAACTAAAAATATAAATTGAAAAAAATACAATGGAGTATTGGAATTGGAATAAAATATAAAAATAATATAATAAAATTGAAAATAAAAATTTACAATGGTATTGAAAAATAACAAATAAGTAACAACTTTTAAATAAAATCAAAAACAAAATTTGCAATAATTTAGAAATGCTATACAATTATTGAGTATACAAAAAAAAATGTTGACTTCATTATTTTCTTCAAATTCCACCCTCTATCTCCTTGACCTTGATCTACATCATTTGCTTCTAGTGAACCATTAGATGAAGTGTCATGCCCTTCTTGATCTTTGTAGACATGTGGATTTGTAAGCCAAATAAATAGGTTTAACTTACATGGTAGCCATCTCAAGTTAGTATGGGCCTCCATGGGCCCAAGGCCCAAGTCTATATAAATATGACTTAGTGGCCCAAGGATCCTAGTGTACTAAGTCTAGTATGGCGCATGTCTTATTGTAATAGGGTAGTCTCATTGGCAAGACCGCTAACGCTTACATAATGGTGCATGTATGGGAGTTAACCCTAACCCAACACCCCTCACATGGGATTGATTAGCAAAATGGGCTGAGGTGTCAGTCCTAATCTTTGGCTATAAATAGCCTTTCTTAGGAAGAAAGAGCCTCTTTTTTTTTCAACAATCACATTAAAAGAAGCTCTCACACAAATACTTGAGTATTGCAAATAACCACAAGCTCTTGCGAACTCCAACAACTTCAAGATCAAGAGAGAGGAAAGAAGGGAAAAACTTCTTAGTCTCTACAACACACTTGGATTCAAGCTCTCCAAAGAAGATCAAGCCACTACAAAAAGGCCCTTCTTAGAAAAACATCATTCACAACCAATCAAGCGTGAAGCCCAGAGTGAAGAAATCTACATCAACTCTTCAGAAACACCAAAATCAAGAAAATTTACATCAACACTTTAAGAAGTACGAGAAAATGACAACGACTCTTGTCTTCACAACATTTGACCATTAATTAGAGTTTGCTCATGTCATCTAGCAGAAATCAAAGAGAGTTCAGTTTCCTCGTATTTTCTTTATTACATTTCTTTTTGTAATTTGTCTCCATATTTTGTATTAATCAAATACACAAAATTTGTATCGATAATCTTATAGTCTATGTCCAGCATCCAGCCAATCCTTCGACCATATACACATCTCTAGGCTTTCAACATTTATGTAGCTTTGCTTGTCTTCCTATACTCTAGTACCCGCACTATAACAAGATTTCAATGGAACTGTAAACACTAGAGGGGTTAGTAGATAATAGACTTGTTCATGGGCTGAGCTCAGACTTGTTTTTTGTCAAAATTCTAATGGGCCAACTCAAAGCTCGAGCTCAAGACAATGTAAAATTGGGCCTGAAGCCCGGCCCATGAACAAGTCTAGTAGATAATGTGCCATGGCAACAAGAATTGGATTATCTTTTCCATGTTCACTCCACTAAGCTAAAATATCAAAATTATTTAATTCATTCGAGTTGAGGGAATCAATTAATAAGAAAAAATGGCGTATAAAAAAATTAAGTTCAGTAAGTTAACTTGATGACGAAATGGCAATTGATTTTTTCTTTTTATTTATAAAAGACCCAAATTTTTCTCTTTCATTACCAGGACTAGATGTTTCAGAAGTGGAAGTTGTATCTATACAAGTTCTCTTATGTCCTAATAATTGAGATTCATATAAAATGTACATTTCAAATAATAAATTATTAATTTCATATTTTTTGTTCTAATTTCAAGTATCATATCTTCATAATAAGATTCAAGTAAAACATCTAAACCATCTTTTCTAATCATAGGATCTAATATTATAACTAAGAAATATTTTCCCAATATTTTTTTTAATTTAACTTCTATTATATCAACAATATTATGAAAATTTAAATTTTCTTCTAAATTTTGAAAAATATTCACTAATCATAGATGATGAAGATCAATAGTAAAACTTTGATCCCTAATTTAACTGGTGGCCTTGAACTCAGATGCAGGTTCTAGTAATAGAGTCTATAAAAAAAAAATAAGTGAGAGGGCTTGGATAGGTTTCCCAAGCTATGAATTCCAATGGTCAAGTCAGTAGATGTCGAATTGTCCGATGAGGTAAAAATGCTAGAGCAGGAATCAAAATGTAATAGGTGGTCTCAAGTGGGGTGAAGGGTGATCAAGGCGGGAGGCCATAGTGGGCATGTCTAGGTGGTTAGTGGTAGAACGTTTGCAATTCTTGGAGGATGCTTGGGGCCTACTTCCCCACAAAGTGGGGAGTGGAGTACTGGTACCACCAGGTGGCAATCCATGATCATGCGTGGCACAGGTCGGTCCATCATCTTTGACATCAGAGATGAGTCAGATAGTGAGCATGGCCTCTAGGTCGAAGGTGGTTCGAGGTCAGAGTACGTTCATATAGGTCAAAGGTAGCCTAGGTTGGATGGACCAGGTTGGAAGCATGCCTTGGGTGAGTAGCACGGCTTGAGCCTGTTCTAGAGGTCCAATTATCAAGACAGCTGGAATCAAGCTATCATTGGTGGTCTATGCTACTACTTAAGCACTATGCTGCCACGTGTTGAGACAAAGTGCAATAAAGCGCTTTTCACACCACCATGTGTCGAGATATGGTTGAAGGGTAAATCGACCCCATCAATCAATAAATAATTAACTAAAATATAAGAAGTTGGATAATAAATACTTGAATTCACGAGTTGTATCATAAAAAAATTATAAAAAATCTTTTATAAAAATTGCAATTTTCCAATCATCACTAGTTATAAAATCATAGGGCATTTTCTCATTATAAAAATTAGTAAGAATATCTTTGTATAAAATACAATTCTCTAACATAGAATAGGTAGAATTTCACATATGTTGAACATATAATACAAAATTTTTATATTTTAGACTATATTTTTGATATAAATATGTAATGTCTTGTTTTCTTGTACCAAAACTTTTAATATACATAATATAATTTCTAATTCTAGAAATATGATGCGAAATAATATTTAAAACATCTTAAACACATAAAATTAAGATGTGACATGCACATCTAATATGAAATAATTTGCCATTTAAGCATGGTTTTAATTGAGATTTTAAAATATTTATTGTTGAATCATTATTGCTAGTGATGGAGATCAAAAGTCACAATACCTACTAGGGTGAAAACATTGGTGATAGGTCTGCAAAAAACAATATTAGAGGGTCTGGGGGGATGACTTGGGCATGTAACTTTGACGCTTAAGTTAGTAAATTGTTAAGTTCTCCGAGGTGGTAGAAAATGTGTGAACAGGAATCAGAGAGTAAGTATGTATATATGTAAACATATCTTTAGAGGGTGGTGGTTTACCCTTATATAGACCTGCTCGAAGACCGATTGTAACGTATCCAACACATTTGGGCGGTTGATAGCTTTGTTTCCGCTATTCTCAAGACACACCCATATAACACTGTAGGCGTCTTTATCCACCTCCTTGCAAAGTGGAGATGAATGGGCTTATTAGTGCTAGGTGGGCTTCATGCTTGCACACCGTTTGGGTCAAATGTTTTGTGCGAATGGGAAAGAGAGAGTGCTAGCCACTTAGGTGGGAAAGGTTCCGCAGGTTGCAGGTTGCCCAGG